AAAAAAAAAAAAGAAAAAAACGCAGTTACTCTTTGGCCAATCCAACATTTACACATCATATTTCGTCTCTTTCGAGTGGTCTCGAATTATGCAGAATATTCTAAGTTATCATTGGCATGCTCGTACGAGCATACTTTACTTGTGGTGTCGCAAGTTTGGAGGAAGCGAGGGAATAATTGTAATAGGTGATAATGATCAATCATGAACAACCTCGATGTCGTTGCCCATGTCGAACGCGATGTCGGGCACGATACTGCTCCGGGGCGAACGTTGACGTTCCATAGTTCCTCGAAGATTCGTCGGTGGCAAATCGACATGCTTGTCGGTTGCCACGCTGGCTCGTCGTCCTCTTGGTCCGGCGATCGGCGACGTGTGGCCAAGGTTCGTCATGTTCCGCGATGCTCTACAGCGTCGCGATGATGTGCTTCGATGCAACATCACAGGGGCATATTCTCATCCCTGAGGAACAGACGTGAAATATCTTTTTAAACGGATGATTATTCGACTACGGTAATTTCTACATAATCTACTACACTACACGTCTCCCTAACAGGTATAATTAGAAATTCTTGGACGAAAATTTTTTTAAAAATAATTTAATCAAATTAATTATTCCTAAATTTTCATTTCTAATTTTTAAAATAATTAAAAATTACTTTACGAGACAACTGTTTCAGTTGAACGGGAGGGTATCTTTAGTCTCTTCCAAATGATTATGCTCCCAGCAGCCTCCAATTACTCATAACTGGACACGTTCAACGAATGATACTGAAAAAAAATTCTGACAAGGGAATATACCGAAGTGTGAATTACTCATTTTAATGAAATCTAGCATAAATGTGGATATTTCAAGAAGATATTTGACCTGTATCTTTCATCGGTGTTGAAGAGGTGAAAACTATCATCAAGTTCGAGGTGCTGAACATATCGCGTCAAGTATCTCGGAAATTATTGAAGATACCGATTTTGTATACATTGATGGAATTTGTATTTTTATAACGACGAATTCAATAGTTTTGCAAAAAACGTTTCTTTGCTCAAACAAAAACCGTGTTTTTCAAATATAAGTTTTTCCAAATGAATGTTAATAAAAATTTGCTTATGAAAACTTTATATTCAAACACAAATTACCGATAAAACGAAATTCATTATTTCCGAATGTTTCTCACTGGACGTGCAGAGCAGATACGAATAACTAAACAGTTCATATCACTTCTACGAATATCGGTTGTCAGTAACAGCGACAAAAATCTATGCACCGAATGTGACGAAACAAGAATAGAATGCAGAAAAGAATGACACGTTAAGTGATATAGTACCGAAGAGCTGCATCGTTCGATCAATCGAATCTGTAGGTAAACATTCATAGGCAATACACATGTGCAGTTGTTTCTTCTATGTTTACGTCTCTGCAATTAGATAAAACAGTTCCTCTAGTTGGTGTTGTTAAAATTTTTCGAGAAGCATTGCAGTTGACAAGTTGCAAGAAGAATTTAGAATATTCTAACAATGAGAAACAATTAAATTCGCGTCAATTAACACGTTCCGTGCCATGTGTACCACAAGTGGTACACGATGTGATAGCT